AATCTGTGGAGGGAGCTGAAGGTTCGAGTTGCCAAACATCAGCCACGAAACATTAATGACTTGGAGAGGATCTGCAAAGAGGAGTGGGTCAAAATCCCCAGAGATGTGTGCAAACCTTGTGGCCAACTACAAGAAACGTCTGACCTCTGTGATTGCCAACAAAGGTTTTGCCACCAAGTACTAAAGCACGTTTTGCAAAGGAATCAAATACTTATTTCATTCATGAAAATGCAAATTACTGTACTTTATAACTTTTTTTGTGTGATGCATTTTTCTGGATTTTTGTTATTGTTGTGTCTCTCACTATTCACATAAACCTACCATTGAAATTGTAGACTAATCATTTCTTTGTTAGTGGACAAACTTACAAAATCAGCTGGGGTTCAAATAATTTTTTCCCTGACTGTGTGTGTGTGTGTGTGTGTATATATATATAGTGGCAATGTGTTACCTGTAGTACAATACAGCACTGGATGAAGTCATCAAAGGCCACCTGTCCCTTTCTCTGGCGATCGAACTTCTCTATCAGTGTTATGTAGAATTGGTCTGATAGACGATAGCCTGCACACAACAACAGACATGACAGCAATGTAGCCATCATTTCAAAAGCATCCTCTCCATTATCCCTTTCAAAGACTGTTTGATGATGAAGTTCTGAAATGGATTTTGGCTTCTTGGTTAGACTCCAGGGAAATTAACTTGAATAATCACCGGACTGGATCATGGCAGAGCTAAAAGTCCCTGAGGCGTTCAACCTCCAAGTACAAAAGGACCCTGGCCATGTAATGACTTAAGTGAACAACTAAACTTTGAAAGTGATTGCTGCAGAGCTGTGATTTACTTGGAACTACTACAGACTGTCTGAGGCAAATGAACAAGTTGTGGCAGAATTTGAGAAATGTTAAAACATGTTCCAATGAGTATCTTAAAGATTCTCATCTAATCCTAAAGAGTATCCATTTCAGCTTTCCCCGTGGGGGTCTGTATATAATCTATGTAGGGTGGAGAGACAGAGAGAGAAAAATCACCCTACACCCTAAAAATATCAGCAATGGCAACAGCATTAATTCTTCTGGCACTGATCGAACTTAAGAAGTCTCTGTGGATTTTTCTGGAGACAGTTTTACATAATACACAGTGTCACAAAGAAATACAGAAAGCATGCAAAATCAAACAGATGAAACAGTTTCCAGAGAAGTCTGTTTTTTAGACATTTTTTAAACATATCACTAGTGTAGCACACATGTCTTTAATATGGAAGTAGACACAAACCTGCAGCTTTTTATTTGTATGTCCAGCACAAAACACACAGATGGATGATTGAGAATGTCAAGTACTTACTACATACAGTAAGTGTGAGTAGAAATTAGGGATAATTTTAAATAAAATGTTCCCATAGCATGTTTGTCTATCCAAACACACAGAGTACTACTGAAAAGACTAAATCCGAATTGCAGACCCAGAGAAAAGGCACTTCTAGACATAGCCATGAGGTCCTCCACCACAGTGATCAAAGGTAAACATACAGAATTAGCATACTTTGCTGCTCACCAAACCCAGTCAGCGCCTGTTTCAGCTCGTTCCTATCAATGAAGCCAGAGTTGTCCCGGTCATAGGTCCTGAAGATGTTCTGCCAGTCTGTGATGTACTTCCATACACCAGCAAACTCATTGAAGTTCACCCCACCTTTATTCTCCCTGTCAAACATGGCTAAAGGAAAGGGAGACAAGGTCAAGATTAAGATATACTGTAAGAGACAATATTCACTCTTAATCTCAAAAATGCACAGAGAAAACGCAACCCTTGAAATGCTGGTATTCCACACGTGCAATGAGGGAAAATTGAAACAAATATGGCACCAGACAGTTTAAAAGTACTGTCAGAGAACTGTGGAGTATTAAATGGGGTCCGAAAGACTCAGCTCACACTTGACTAACTACTGTCTCACAAGACTGTTAATAACAGAGCAAGCTGCTTGATCTCCTCATCAATACTCCATTCCTCACCCTCATGCAGTTCGATACACAAAGAGAGGGTTATCAAAGGATATGCTTCTTGCTGGAAAAGTGTTAAACAGTGGATTTACTTATTATAGTGAGAAAGGGAGGCAATGGAATTAGAGGCATTTTCTCCCAGCAAAACAAAAAGGGAGCACAGTGGATACGAGACCTGGATTAAGAAATGTTTAACATATTTTTGTTTGAAGGTACATTAACTAAATATTTTCATTTTGCCTGATGATTCAATTGAAAATGTGACAGGACGTGGTGTCTCTCAGTTATACTATCCCCTTACATGACATACTATCATCTACAGCCCTTCTGCTGGTATTTCAGCTTCTCTACCCTGTGTTTTCAAAGTCTGGTCCCTAAATTAGCCCTGCCTGCCACCTAGCAAAGGTTACAGGAAGCATTTTTCAAACAGGGAGTGGTCACTTTCAGCAGCCAGCCATGGATGATCCCTCACCAGCTGAAAGTCTGAAACAATGCCTGCTAGACAGAAGAGGTCACATTCTTTTGCACGGACGAAGTGGGACAAAGAAGGAGCAAGAACCAGGATCAGCATGGGTTTGGCTTTTTGAGATGCAGAGTGTTAAAAGCAGCCACAGAACTCAAATTTGATTCAGGGGTAGCATTCTTCCTTCAAAATGTGTTAGCATCTAAAGCTAACATGTTTGTTTTGGTAAACAAAAAGAATGGTTAGGAGTTGTTTCTCGTGTGAGTTAGGTCTGAGTCTCACTTGACCCTCTAGTGGATGAAAAGAAATTAGGTACAGTAGCTTTAATGTGGAAGCTATGGATCAAATGTGCAAAGGGCTTGATATTAAAAATATACTAGCCACATTTCCAATAGGGAAATACATTTAAATATTGTAGTAAAAAGGTACAGTTTATGTATGTTTTGAGGTACAGTCTGACCTACATAGCAGAGTTAAAAAGCTGCCAACAAAGACCTGAAACTGCAGAGTTTAGTTTTTAACCACAGCTGCATATTACATCTGCCTTAAAAATGTAAACAAATCAATATTTAGAGTATGAGACAACCAGCATCATAACATTTGAGCCAACCTCTCTCATTTCCTATCGTACGCTCTCTCTCTCTCTCCTTTTATTGACAGCTGCAGGTTTCCACTAGAGCAGCAGTTGGTGGCACCAAAATAAGCTTGTTTGTGCCCTCAGACTAATCAAAACTTAATTAATTTATCTGGTTGTCATGGAGAAGAGGCCAAAAATAAACAACATGCATTGTACAAGAACAAAAGAGAGTTGTGTAAAAAATAGTTGATTACATCACTGTCAACAGTCACTTACATACGATAGAGCGGACAGTCACTGGGTTGAAAGGAGTCCATGTGCCTGTAAGACAGAAGAACCAGGTACAAATGAGACTAGTGGACTGTTGTGGTATTTCTTGTAAGAATGACAATAATGATGAAAACATTTATAATAACTACTTAATGTTTTATTAAGGTGTATTAATATTTCCAGCTAACCAGTATCTATGGTGTTGGTCTTTGCTTTAGGCACAAAAGGTATCTCTCATATCTGATGAAAGCCAATGCAAAATCAGGTATATATGACCCATCTTCCTTATTCTAAATCCTAGTCTGTTTTCTGTAATATTTTAGCTTCACCTTCTATTTCATTATGTTATATTCTGTGACATTTTGTTAGTGAATCAGACTAATGCAGGACAGGGGTCAGATTTAGTTCCTACAGGGGCTGCCCACACTAATGATGCACTGACAAGAGAAGACAAAGGCATTCATCAAATGGCATAAATCACATTAAGGAGGGAAGGGACAGCATATCAACATAGCTAATGAATGACTTCATAAGATGTTTTTAACCACTGACATAGCTTTTCATCACAACAGAAAGAATATTAAATCATTAACAAAAGAACTTGAGGGCAGCTGAGTTTTTGTAGTTTCTTCCCTAAAACACACAAAACCTATTGCTCTCTACAGGACAAACTCTGCCATTATACTGTACTGAATGCATCTGTCAGAACAAGACTGATGGATCTTTGGTTTACAAGGTGTTTATACTTTACAGCTGCCTTCACACTCAATTCTCAAGCTGCTGAGATTTATCAGAGCATCTAAGTCCTTGCTGACTCACCATTATTACTACAAAGAGGTTGATAGTTCGGCACCAGAAACAAAGAGAAGTGAGTGTGAAGAGGATTCAGAGAGGGGGAACGAGAAGAGAGAACAAGGAACACATAAAACAATGAAAGAGGAGAGATAATCAGATTAACAAAGGCAACACAAAAGAGGAGACAAGGCGATGTGGCATAAGGAGAACAAAAGCTCTGCAGTTCAGTTTTCCACAGTAACTTAGGCAGTACAGCAGGTTCTCCAGATTAGTTTTTCTGACCTAAGATTACTCACTGTGCTCTATCTATAGACCATAAAATGACATGTACAGAATTTTAACATCTTGTCCGCATAGTGCAGAGCCTTCTTCAGGCCGTGCTCTTCCTGACTGCTTGTTTTTGTTTTCCCTCCACAGTTAGGTACAACAGCAATAAATAGTCATACAGTGCATTTTGAAAAAAATGGGTGAGGCTGTCTGGGACTGTAGGTGCTTCTCGGTTCAAGCCTGAGGCTCCTGATAGAGCTGGGATTTGGGCTAGACTCTAAATTGTTACAGTATCTACTGGAGTATGGATCTAAAGCAGCAACGATAAATATGATAAGCATACTGATAAATCCACATAAATTTACAATGGGAACACAGGAGACAGGCTAAGTTGAGTATCCCAAAAGCATAAATTTCAAGTTAAATCTGCTAGATGACCGGACAATGAGACCAAGAAACATCAGAAATCCTTTTATAACATCTACATAAATGCTGATCCAACATCAGAAAAATCACTAAAAAGGAAGAAAAGAACAAGCTGTGACCTTTCCAGCCACACAGATCCTTCTACGCACACACACTTCACACCAGTAGCTAGCTGTGAGGTCACCAGTGTATGTCAGACAGACTGCAACTGCCCACTGTGAAGTGGTCAGTACTGGCTCAGATGTTTGTGGGCATCGGCATGTGCGTCCGATTGCCAACTGAGACTATACACCCTCTGTCCAGTCAACACACTGGGCTCTCTCACTGGTGAACTGAACTGGTGAGGACGAGAGGAGAAAGCGGGAATACAGGAGGCGATGGGAGAGGCGGGCTGGTGGAAAACAGTGTGAACTGACCACAGTGCATACACATACAGTACATATAACAGTTGCACTGGATCTTAGTGAAGCACTTGATATATGCAAGCGTACATAGATTTGAATTTTTACATATAAACCTTATTTGTTCAGCTATACACACCTGATAGTTTCACAGACCAAAACACACACAAGCAACTCATTAGTCTCATCATCAGCTGTATCGTACATAATTCACCATCATGTTGAAGCTAATTTTCTCATGGTTTCTGCAAAGCTTAGCTATGTTTCCAATACTGTGAACCATGTACAGTGTTTAATAACAGTAGTATTCACCCAAATCACTCATGCATTAAACATTAGAAGTAGTCACTAGCTACTGGCTCAGTCAGTCATTCTCAGTTTGTTTGTGATGGCTGATGGTAGGTATAGTCATACAGTTATGATGTGTGTGACAAAGATCAGCAGACTTGGTTTACTCAGTCATAAAGAGCACTCCTGCTTCAGACCATTAGCTAACAATCCTGGGGTCTTAGTCAGTGAGTGCACGAGGAATCTCATCCACTATTCAGCTGAGACTGAAATGACTAAGCAGGACTGATGATTGATAACACAGAGAAGATACTGAAAAGCTTAACACAGTCTGCACAGCAAGCATGTGGCCCCTCAATCATGTCAGCAATTTTAGTGGCCATTACTGCTTCTACACGCTTAAATAACTAACTCATGGAGGAGTATATATTAGTGCACAGGAAAGTTGGGGCGCATGACAGTAAGTTGGCATGACTTCGAAATCTTAGTGCACAGGAAAGTTGGGGGGCATGACAGTAAGTTGGCATGACTTCGATGTGCTGAGTGAAGGGAGGCCAAATAATATCACACTTAAAGCAAATGACATACAGTAGCTACAAGGCACAGCCACAACACAGACATGTGCATATGCCTCAGTGCCACAGAGCCAATCACAGTCTCATGAAGGACGATACACTGATAAACTGAGATCTGACAGAGGAATGTAGAGAGATGAAAAAAGTAAGAGAGCATGGGAAAGAGGGACAGAAAGTTATAGCAAGAGAGTACAAAGACTGTGGACATAGAGGACAGAAACATGTAAACAGCAACAAAAACTCCACAGCCTCCAGTGGCTCCATATACGTTGTGCTCAGCTCCCCTGAGAAATAGAATTTCACTAGATGCTAAAGAGAGAAACCAAGAGGGACAACTGCAGCATGGCAATAACATGCTAGGCTAGTGGTGTGAAACTGGTGTAAATAAAAGCAGCATTTGCAGGGCCAGTAGATACACGACACACAGACAGCGTCTGCATTGGTGGCTTTAACTGCAGGACAGGACGCAGCACAGTGTGTTCAGCTTCACTGGCTCCGTTTCATAGCACAGTGAGCCTACTGAACTGGCGGAGACTGGACCGGGAAACCAGCCGTTCCCTTCGCACACTTACACAGCAAGGTGCAAGCATATATAGTACACATACATGCTAAGTCTGTAAAAACACAATGGATACTTGCTGACCTTTGGCAACACTTACACACACTGTAGTTAAACACGCATGTTATCATATGCATGCACAAACACACAAACAGAATCAGTATTAATATGCTGAGTCAGAGAGACTGCGCAGCCTGATACCAGTGTCTTTCCCTGCTGCCGCTGGCTTCAACACTTAGACGTGCCCAGAAAATGTGTCTAAGCAGAGTAACCTGTTCAAAAGTCTCTGAAAATCTGCCTCAGCAATTGAACCATGGACTGATGTGAATGCATTATACTTCATGACAAACATCAAGCTGTGTTAGTTTGTGCCTCATTAATCATTACCATGTTTTAACCCTGCTGTCTCATTGAGAGCAAGGTCGAGGAGCAATGCTGCTGTTGTGTGTGGGCATGAATACTGGTATTTTACCAGCCTGTTACACTGCAGCTCTTCTCAGTCCGTGCAAGTGTAAAACTGACTTCACTTGTATGGATTTGGGTGGACAGGCTAACATTTTCAGACTACGTTAGCACAGACAAACAGTCTAAATGAGCCATGAAAGCAACCTCCACAAGAAGGTCAGTGACACTGTATGAAGCCCAGTGTTCACAAGGTTCAGTGATGTTCACAAAGAAAAGTAACCAACACAACATGCGGCTTCTACACTGCACGCAGCTGACTGGGGCTACTATGAAACAAAGGGGACCCACACAAAAAATAAAATAAAAAATACAAAGGCACAGTGATGTCACCATTTTCAGATCAATGTGTGTGTGCGCAACAACTGGCCAATTCACTCGCAAAACGTGGCACACAGCGACAAGGTAGACCTACCTAGCAGTCCTAACAAAAAGTCTTTTATTTAACAACAGCACCACTGCTGAAAAAGAGCAAACACTGAAATCCACACAGTTTCCACCACCAGCCAGTACAGCGCTGAGTTGGCTGTCATCACCGGGACAGTGAGGAGTGTGTTCTTTGAAGCTACACTGATAGACTTTTCACTTGCTTCTGTGTTCAGGAACAAAAATAAAACTCATTCATTTTTATTTGGTTCACATACCACTCCAGGATAAAAATAACAGCTCCTATCTATTTTCTGCTTACACTTGGCAGTTGCTTAAATCAAAGTGAGGAAATGAGTAATGGTGGGTAACGAGGAGAGTGGGTAAAAGAGGGATCAAAAAGAGGCTGGAAGGGAGCAATAAAAACGGGGGAAAGCAGAGGAGAAAAGAGAATGAGAGATGGAGACTGTGGGAGGGGAGGGAGACGGTAAGAGAGGACAAATAGTCAGAAGTGAGTAGATGGAAAGAAAAAATAAAATGGGAGTTGCAGACACGGACACATACCATTGGACAAGGCCTGCTGGAGCTCTGAGTCTGATATCACTCCACTTCGGTCCTTGTCGACCCTGCGGAGGAAAACACAGATCAGATACCACCTGCATTAACCACTTCACACATCCACATACGCCAACACACAACAGCAGTTGGCATAAGCACTCGCTAGCTGAAACTTTATCCTCCTGCGCACCTGCAGATAAAAGGGGTTCTATGATCTGGAAACAAAAGAAGCTTGTACACTTGTAGCTCCAATGAGACCAGCCACACAAGCAGAGAATGTGGGTGTGAATGTGTGTATGCGTGTGTGTGTGTGTGTGTGTGTGTTGATCCTGAGACAGCAAATTGAAACTGAATGTTGGCAAATGCGCAAATAACTTGTACTGCTACCAGCATAGTGTCACCTTGCAAGAATCTCAGTGTAACAAGTGATAAGTGAACTGAAAACATCCTAATGCATCAGATAAGAGTTTGTCTCTATCCTTGCATTTCTTTAAATCTAGTATCACATAAATGAACACAAAATTATTAGGGGAAAAAAGCTTTAAAAAGAGTTTCCAAAAAGCTAAAATGAATTAATCAAAATTACACGTGATGGTAAAACAAACTTTACACTACTTGCTGTTTTGTCCAGGACCTTGGGTTTAGAAATGGCAAAAACATCTGAAAGCAAGGGCACCAATAGTTTGACAAATTAAAATCAAAAAATGAGATACATTACTTATGCACTTAGTTTTTAACACCATCTCCCTAAATACAAGTCTGCTGACAAGGTACAGTAGAAAGGGAATCAAGATATAGTCAATACATTCAAGACACATGCAGAACTCAGCCCACGAGTCTTTCTCCAAGATGTAGAGACGTGAAAGCATTAACAGGCCGGACTATGACAGAAATAACAGCCTTCAGTTATGAAATGTGGCTTAGTCAAACTTCCAGTGACTCAACTGTTCCTTAGCAACCTGTCGACATACTCAAACACACTCTGAATGCCCGCAGAGAAGGAGGCGGGAACCCCCTTTCCCACTGAAACAAACCACTGGACCAGCTCAGAAATGACTTTGTGGGCTGGGTTTCCATTTCCAGCTGTGACACATCACAGCTCACGTCTGCAGCCTTCATGGCTTTCTATATGATCATAAGCTATATACTGTATATCTGTATAGTGTGTACTCTTCTTATTAGCTGCCACCATTTAAATAAAAATAAACAAACATAGGGAGACATCAACATTGCCTACGTCCATAAATGGGAGCTCTGTCACAGTGAAAGTAAGGAGTGTTTGGGCTAGTGCAGTCAGTGGGGTACATCCAACCTTTGCCAAACATTGAGAGATGAACCAAAGTACGTACGTGTGTTCGCAACATAAGCTCTCACCCTTTCTTCCTTCTCCTCTCCGCCCCTTGTCCTTTTACTATCTCTGACACTCAGCCCAAGGTAAAGTTACTTCCACAGGCTGTTGAGTACAGCAAGCTGACTGAAATGAAACATCATTAAAACTGCCTGCAGCAAAGACACTTGACCATCTGGCGTTTCCATCTTCACACCATCAAATACAGAACTTGTATGTAAAATAGCAGGACAAAACACACCCGCTCAAACTTTCCCATGTTTCACTGTTTCCTATTAAACAGTCAGTCTGGAATATGGCTTGAGGAACAAAACCTGCTCCTTCTTTCCACATAAGTGATCCACAAGTAAAGCAGAGTCACTCTGGCTCCCACTGGGAGGATAAATAAAACCTTCCAAATTAAGGCTGCATTCACAAAACCTTTCAAGAAAACCTTGCTGTCAAGGGCTTCCATTGCTACACTTTCAGAATTTAAAGTTGTGAAATAAATCATGACCCTGTTTCCAGTTAGACAGTCCACATTGCATCATAAGACTTCACTGACTTTTTACTGAATATAAGAAGAATTAACTGTGAAATCTCTTTCTCCTGTTTAATTTTTAGGTGAACCAAATTTCCTTTCCTTACAAGTTTTAATGTGATTCTAACAAGTGTGAATGCTTCAACATAACAAGTGTTCACACTGGAGTAATGACAGTCCGTGAACATGCTGATCTTGCATAGCAACAAATCTGAAATGCTGATCTAAAGAGCTGAAGGGCTGGTGCATACCAACATCATCCAGGCCAGTAAAAGAGAGAGAATGTCTTCCTCATGACTCATTTGGTGTCAAGTCACAGAATAGAATTAAAAAAATTTAAATAAAACACTCCACTTAGAGGCAGACTAGAATATGACTGCAGCCCACTTGCACCTTTCACTGTGCAAAACACCTTGAGAAAAATAAATGCCGATTCATGATTAGACAGGATCAGCTGTCAGTTACAATGTGTGACATAAGCGGAATGAATTTCCAAAGGCAGTGCAACAGTAGGATGGTGAGTCATAGATTGGTAGGTGTAGGTGTGTGTGCGTGAGAGAGTGAGAGAGAGAGATTGAGAAACCTCCTTTATACTAGCATTAAATCCCAAGACCCAAATACAAAGGGGAAGTGAAGATGGTTTAGTTACCCCTCACCTTAATCTGAAGGCAACCTTCACCAAAACCGGTTGCTTTTTATGACATTTAACCTGAATCAAGCTCAACCCGAACCCGAAGGATGTTGAAAAAGCTCTTCTTCCTGGAGTGAGGATGCTTGAGAGCATCATCATGAAGTCTTTTATGGACCAACACGCCCCTTTATCACAAATCAGTTGGCAACTGGACGTTTCAAATAAAGGACCAAAGGAAAGGACACCTCATGACTGTATAAACATGATTTCTTGATTCCTCCATCCTCACATTTTTCCTTGTTTCTTACGTGGGTGGGACTAAGAACCAGGGAAAAGATGCAAGTGAGGGAAACTTGGATACAATTAAGGGAATTGGGATTTGCCCTTTGTGTGTACACCATAATGACAGTCATGAGAAGTGCTGCTGTGAATGACTGACAAACATAGAGAAACACAGAGAAAAGGCATAAAGCCTATATATGAAACAAAATGTGTACATCGGACCTTATTTCTAATGGGTTTGTATTAAGCCTTGCAATGCCTGTAGCATCCCAGTGTTGTGAGAAAGCAAAGCAGCTGGAAAAAAATCTCTGCAGTCTTACGTAACTCTATAGCTTACTATTACCAGAGGCCAAAGCACATCAACAATTTCCCTCTCTGCCTAGTACCATGACCTTCTTAGCAGCTGAAACACTTTTGACTCAGGCTATGGTGAAACTGATGACGGCCACAGATACTGTAACATCACAATGGGAAAAATGATACAGGATTCCACAGATGTTATTGTCAATCAGTTTCCCAGTGTTCATATCAGCCTCCCATAAACAGACAGGCCTAGACAGCATCATACAGTTGTCAGGAAACGCTGTCTTGAGAATTTTTTCTGAGCTGACTTGGTGCAGAAACAGACAAGTGGTGGCAGAAGGAGTCATTTGTTAAATACTCTCTCATATCTCCAGGACCCTGGACCCCAGGTGGCAAACTAACTGGTACTGATTGAATTAGTTTTAAGACAATTTCTACGCCTACAACTGAGACACGTGACAATGGACTATGCTAATGTAAAGCGACCTGCTGAATGACATGTAATAACTATGTAGTGCACAGCGTTCAGTAGAAAACCCCAATACCCCGGGGAAACTTTAAAACCCATAAATCACAACGTGACGCTCTGTTCTCGGCCAAAAGTAGTTATAAGGACACTAGAGTAAGGACAAAAACCGAGCTGTCAGTGTTTGGTTCACCACCACCACCCAGCCCAACTCTCTTCCTCTCCTTCGCACTAACAGCAGTTTTCAATGCGGCTAAGCAAACCGCCTCCCCACTCACCTCTGGAAGATATTCCACAGAAAGCCCTGGTCCGGAGGAGCGTTCATGTGCGGGGCAGCTCTATACGGGCTGTGACACGCCATTTTAAAGGGAATGCGCTGTCAAAATGGAGCAGGTACGACCAACAGATTGCGTTTCCTCCTGCAATAGTTTCTCTTCTCTTCTGTCAGACTCCACCACCCGACGTTCACGGTGACTCCTAGCTCACAGAGGCGTGGTCAGTCATTCAGCGCTACGCACACGCACGGTGACGTCATAGTACCCCCCCTCTTTCAGCATGGTAAAAACAGAAACTGTAACTATTGAGGCATAGGAAAACAAATATTTACTGTGTCCTCTTAAATTTTGAAAGTTTTAAAACAATTAACAACAACAAAATGTGGCATGAGTTCCCTCATCAGAACTTTGAAGACAAAACGAACAGATGCTGCTGTTTCCAAGTTCTAGTCTATGGAACCGGGCTACTTATACATTATGATGATCATTTATCTGGAATTTGAGTGTTTGCAAACTTTGTAACGCTCACTTGTCATGATGTATGAATACCAGTACTACTACCTTATCAAATTACTATATAAGGCTACAAATAAAACTCCAGCATTTCAAAATATGCTTAATTAAAAGGGACGAAGTAATCTATTAGAAATAATGTAGGACAAATGTCAAAAATAAACGTATAGGTAAGATTCAGAATGTTCCCAGTAAATGTTTTATCATTGATCAACTTATTTTTAATGCAGTAACATGTATGGAGTATTTTAAAGTTGTAATTAACAGAGATGGAGTTGATTTAAACTATTTTTACATACTAACGGGTTTATGATCTTTTTATAAACTGATCATATGTTTGACAACTATACATATATCATATTGTACAGAGCTTCTAAGAAGTACAACAGTGAACCAGGTAGTGATCCCTGATCACCCCCAGAGGTTTGGTACACATGTGTACCGCGGATTAATTGCCCTAAAGACACTACCTCAGTGTCCCTAGCACTTCAGTTTCTAGCGAGAGTGAGATGTTTTTCTGCATGGCACTTAAGAAGAAGAAGCTTTATTTTATTGTCATTGTGACATGTACAACGAAATCTTGTTTCGAGCTGCGAGCATACGCGCTGCCATCACGGGCAACTTGGGGGTTCAGTGTCTTTCCCATGGACACTTCGACATGTGGACTAATTTATCTACAACAATCAGAGTGTATTGATAGTTTCACTCAGACTTATGAAAATAGTAGCCCACTTTGTAGTATACGTGTTACTCGCAGGTTTTGCCGAGTTCCTAAAGTAACATTACCAAAGCTTCAATATGCGTTTTCATATTTTTCTATGTTACATAAATGCATCACGTGTGTTTACGTGCACCCTGATTGGTCCAGTGTGATTTCACGCGGGAAGACTGTGACTGACACACTAGTCTTTATATTTTGCTATAGTCTTAACCCGGATTGTGAAAATGTTTTATTATCCAAACGTCCTCCACCGTCACACTGGATGTTTTTCCACAATTTGGTGAGTTGAAACAAACAAATAAGTCCAGTTCGCTTGTTATCTTGTACCTACAAATCTAACAACGCCAAAGTTAGCTACTACTTATGATTTAGCTACTAACATAACACTACCTTACATCAAGCAGTCTTCAGCTAATGTTAATGTGTGTTGATTTTCAGGTTAGCAGCCACCAGAGGCATCAAGGTTACTCGTAGAGAGCTTCTCAAAGTTGATGTGAAGCAGACATGGTAAGAATATCCACATGGACATGGCTAACACTGGTATATCTATCTGGTGTTGTTGTTTGCAAGCCTGATATATTTGATTAAAGAAGACCAAATAACTTTAAAAGGATAGATAGAAAATCTGTCTAGAAAAGACAGAAAATGTTGCATTTTTGTGTTATATATCTATGTTGGTTGTTTGTGTAACTTTTTTTGTAACCATCAGTTTTTCCAATTTTATATTATTTAATAATTCAGAAAATGTTGAGGGCATCTGTAGCATCTTCCCCTCTTCAAACTGAGGATGCAGCGTGACTTGTTTAGGAAAATGTACGCAGTGAAGTTTTCTAAAAGGAATGCATTTTGGTACATTTTTACAGCGGGGAAATTCTGGACTATGTGACAGCGCAGGTTCCTCCACCGCAACCCAACCTACCTAGGCCTCGGTTCTCTCTCTACCTGTCGTCTCAGCTGCAGTATGGAGTGGTTGTTGTCTACCACAAGCAGTGCGCCTTCTTGCTTGGTGAGAGAAAAAGAACAAGAACGAGAATAAAGACTAGAAACACCATGCAACATAAAACCCACATTCTGTACATTCATTTACAGTCACAGTATTCTAATCTTTTAGCTTATACCAGAGATCAGGGTGTAGGGTGAGGAGGATTTAGACAAAAGAAATATTTCTTGGCAGAAAAAAGGATGATTTTCAGTTTAACAAGAGTTGTTACTTTCTGTACAGCGGCTCTCCAAAGTAAGCTCAGGTGAAATATGAAAATGTAGAGCACAGCAGACCAGTCGTATCTGTCAGTTGCAGAATGTAAAAATCTCAGAAAAGCTTTTTTGGTATGAAACAGAAATAGTGCTGTCATCACACATGTCCAAAACACATTTCCCAAAATCCCTCTCTCTCTGTCTCTCTTTCTCATTTTCTATACCGCTTAGTCCCGAACAGTCGGTCCCAAAATCCCTTTTAGAAGCCAATATGGGGCTAATGAAATTAATATCATCAAAGGCAGCTCACCAGTCTGTATTCATGTGGTCTTAAATTACACCCTGACATTGATATTGCATCCTAGTGATTGACAATCATGCTGTTGTCATGGTTGATGAAAACAGTGAAATACAGTGCAAGATCATAAGCTGCTGGAGAAGCCAAGAAAGCAGCTGCTATCTATTGCCAGCAATGGCATTTCATGTCATCCATCAGTAGAACAGACTAGAACCTCTCAAGGTTGTCACTGACAAATGTTTGTGGGTAATATGTTATGCAATATTTTAGAATCTGTGCTTTTAACAATGTGATTTAAATAACTTTCTGTGGCACACATCAGATAATAAAAAAACATCCATACATTTTGATACAAAATTAGAAAGTAAATGCTCCCTACAGAATTTTAAATTCTGATATTTTTCCCAATTAGTCCAGAATAAGGTGAAACCAGTGCTATACAATCCCATGTAATTACTAGGATACCCTCTTTCATTCATTGCCCTCTCTTGTGTGGAGATGAGGTAGGGGCACCTTGAATACATTTGTCATGTCAGGTACTTTAAACCTTTAGTTGCATGTGTCACCAATGCTTCTTTTTCTGTAGGAAATATTGCATTGATCAGACTTGTATGTGAAAACCCCTTTTCTGTTTTCCAGATGAGGTCCAACAGGCCATTGACCGCCTGCTGCGCGCTAAAAGATGCATACACATTGACATGACTGAGTCTGACAGGCCTGTACACACACAGACACACACACCAAGTGGATCGTGTGCACTGGAAGAGTGTTTTGTATCTTGTTGTATCTAAAATGCTGAGCTTGTACTGAAGTCTGAGCTCAAAAGCATCTGGTAGTATATTTATGAAAGAAATTATTTGAGGAAATTAAGAGATCAGAAAAGGAGTGTTTTATTGAGTTTGCCTAATAGAGTTGTTTTTTGCTAGTGAGCACTGAACATGCTTGTGACGTTTTAATACTTGGGGTATAACGTTGTGTTTCACTCTCTCTTTAATGGCAGGATTTGCTTGGATGTGCCTGACCATCTGTTCATGATGGAGGAGGCTGAGGGAGCTCAGGACCCCTTCTTTGGTCTCATGGAATCACACCAACTCCCAAGCCCCTATAATATACACAAGGTACAATTTACTATACAAAAGGCCCTGAAAAACATGGTCAAAATAATTTTGACATTCTCATCTTTTCCTTCTGCTGAGAGCAAACTGAAATTAGGGCTACTGTAGGTTCAGGGACTGGGTGACGTTAGAATGCCAGGGTGAGAATGCTGAAATGCTCTCAATGCCCCACAGAATTGTGGGCTTTTGAATGCACCCCGAACCACCTGATGTTAGTGAAGACAGCATGCATTTGCTGAAAATAGATGCTCTAATAAAATAACCGTTGCACTGTGGCCTGACAACCATGAAACAGAAGTTAACTGCTCTATCAAATGCAGACATAAACGTTGGATGTTAAGTTTTATTTTCATACACTTTCATAATTTAATGCACGTCATCTACAGGATTATAGTTTTATGTAACTAACCAGCTGACATCACATTTGATCAGGATAATATGTGTAGCCGGGTGGAAATGCACCTGTTAGACTTATGTATGGAAAAAGTGGTGCTACCGCTTTTAGAGAAGTAACCCGGGGAACGAAGAGGATACTAGGTATCGATCCAGTGGATTCTGGGAAATTAAAAAGCCATGTGTGTTCATCTGACCAAAGCGGTATTTCAGTGGAAGATCTGTACCTGTTGTTTAAGATCTTAGTCCCAGCGTGTGACCCGTGGGATTTGCGGAGTGTGTCGTGAATCGATTACTGCAGACGGATTTTCTGTACAGTGAGCCATGACAGTTATTTTTGTATTTTCTGTATTCCTTACTTCAACGGAAGAGTATTTTTTTTGTTGTACTTCAAGGCAAGGGCGCAGTTGTAAACGCCCCACACCGAATGAGAGAGGGACAGGGTTGACGCTGTTGTTTAATTCATTGTTTTGTTCATTTTATATTTTTTGGAGAAAACCCCAATTATTTATATTCAGAATAAAACACCCAAAAGACATTGTTGTGTCCTGCGCTGGTTCAGTTTCACCAGGCCACATATGTTTGCCACCTTGTTTTGCCTGCAGATGTGTCAGGTTTGTTATTTGAACAACTGGAGATTAGTGAGTGGGAGCTGTGTGCTGCGTGAGTTTGTGTGCGCAGACAATTGTTCCTAAGTTTAAATAAGGTGTAGTCTTAATAATATTTAATGTGCCTTAAACTCTGAACAGGATCCACAGTGTAGCACACAGTATACTGTATATATTGTTAACTTTCTGTTGTCTGCATCTTAGTAATAGGTTTACTGCTGCTTCTAACCCACTTTCAGATCTGTGAAACATTTATTTTATTTAAAGTTAAAAACAAACAACTAAATAAATAAAACATACAAATAAAAAAGTTGATTTCACAAAGTTTTCTCCATTCAGACAACAGTAGAACAGATCTAGATCAAAGAGCCAGTCGCAAATACAATAAATGTCTCTGTGTTTTAAAGAATCTCTAAACTCTCCCTGTTAATCTAGTCTAGATTTGACTTGCCAGTGTAGTGGCTCTTAAACAGTTACTGTCGTTCACTTACCAATCAAGTTCAGGTTAAATGTGGTGGACACAACTGGACATATCGTCTGGATGGAGTCACACAATAAATAAAGGTTTCACAAATCTGAAAGAGGCTGTTACACAAGAGCAAAGGAAGAAAACATTTCTTCTGTATCACTTTGGCCTTTAATAACCTCAGCTTTGTGTTTAAATGATGATGTTTCAATGAAATCATGATGCTATTATGATGACACCATGAAAATATAAAAATAAATGTATTTTTATACAAAGTTTGTAGTGTTATGTTAATGTTGTGTAGACAGGTTTTGTGATCAACGAGGGGAGTTCACAGCTCTCCCTACTGTCCAGTCCCCACACCGCACCTGACAAAGCAGGTGAGAAGGATATTACATCTGAGAGACTGGAGCTGTGTCCCATTTCAGAGGCAGCTGCTTTTTTAAGTCCACATTTCAAATGTTATAATGATGTGATTCCCCTCAAACTTTCTTGGAGCAGTTCAGTCCTTTTTGTGTTTATGATGTGAAATCCAGTGTCTACTGCTCACTTGTCTCTGTGAGACCAGAAGCAGAAGCTTACCAAAACACTGCCCTAAACTCTGTTTAGACTATCTAATCTGTACAGATTGATTTTACTGGCCTATAGTCTGCTACAGCCTCACATGAAATGGAACATAGCTTACCTGTTATCAATGTTTAAAACTGCAATTCATAAAGGATGTTTTGTAATTGCCTTAGTGACACTAAAGAGCGTTGATTCATAAAGGATGTTTTGTTCCAAATTGCCTTAGTGACACTAAAGAGCGTTAACTAAACTTAGGCTACCTAATTGAAATATATAGATTATTCTGATTTGTAGTAGTGGTTGTGGTAACATTTTGCATATTTCTGGTTTAGGTAAGCTACTGTATCATCAGTGGTTTTGTAAATGGATCCGTTTATTGGCTTACATTCTAGAAGTGAATTTTCTTCTAAATTTAAACTTCTGGCACAGTGATGTAGCCATTTCCACTCCTACAAGGAATATTTTGAATAAATGTGCTGTCATCAGTGAATTTATCAGATTTTATTGTCACATATTGATTTGAAAATGCATCATTTCCAGGCTGAGCTCAGACCCAGATTTCACTGTCCTGGCTATTGTTTACCCTAAAGCCACAAATACAAGTGAATCTCAGCTAGTCTCACGTCCTCCTTGTGCTACAAACATGCTTGGCTCTTAAATCCTCCTGCTGTGTTGAACTAGCTTTCAGGTCACCCCCAGCTGTCATCACCATGACAGAGAAGGAGCAGTTCACCATCACCACTGCTGAGGTAAACTCTCTGTCAGCCCAGGGCCAAGAAACATCTCTGCCGTTATCCTTAGTGAGAGCCAGTGTCCTGGTGAAGCATGGAGCTGTATGTGGACACAGCATCTTTAGTCACAGGCTTGTTGGGCTTTCCTGTCGCTCTTTACAGCATGCCGTGTGACAAGGAAGTGCCATTAAAGCCAGTACAGATTTTGTATTGCCCAGTGCATTTGTTTTTAATTGAGGTTTGTGGGAGGTGTCTGGTTTTCACTGCTCAAAAAACAACAGATTATGTATTATTTATTATATCTAGGAGAATGCAGAAGGAAAATATCTAATGCCTATGTGGCTGTCCTAAATTCAGCTCTGCATATCCACAGTGCTTAAAGGAAGGCAGAGTTATCTTAGTCATAAAACACTGCTACATTTTACTACAGTAAGTGTGAGTCCAGCAGAACCTCCACATATTGTTTTTGTCAGGTTTACTGTCATTTCCATACATCTGTTTTTCATGCATACAGGGCACATGATATGTTGCTCCTCAGTGTAACATAAAACAGTCATATAGCGTTTAGTGTTGCCTATTACAGTTTTTCTCTATCGCTTTCATTCATTTCTCACAACAGAACTGCATTTCTCAGAACTACTCGTTCAACCGTCAGATTCTGTTGTCAGTTTTTCACATCAAATCAGCAATTTCTTGTTGTTTTCATCAAATTGCAATTGCCTTTGGACAACATGCAAATGGTTCTGTCAGCTGTTTTTGACAATTCTTGTTGCTTTTGTCCAGCTGTGCAAAATAACTTGTCCTGGTTCACAGCTGAAATGTCACAACCACCAAACCAATTAGTCTTTTTTTCAGGTTGGAAGTCTGTACTATCAAAATGAGTGAACATGTTCTCAGAATTGTATGTCTGTACAGATTTCTACAAAGTGTGAGTAGATGTTTGCTAAGAAATATGTCCAGAATTGAGAAATTGCTCTCAGGTGAGTCTTCACCTTCGTTAACGAAGAGAACCACCTCACAACTTCATATACTTGGATGAGGCTGGCTTCAACCTGGCCAAAGGCAGAAGGCGTGGTAGAAATCTAATTGGCCAGAGAGCTACTGTTGATGTCCCAGGCCAACGGGGAGGAAACATCACTATGTGTGCTGCTATGTCAGACCAAGGTGTGCTAGCTCATATTCCTATTATGGGACCGTACAACACACAGCATCTCCTTACATTCTTAGACAATCTCTATAGAAATGTCATTCCTGAAGAGGAGAGGGACCTCAATCAAGATGATGTACCAAAGTATGTAGTAATTTGTGATAATGTCAGTTTCCATCGCTCTGACAACATCAGGCAGTGGTTTGTCCACCACCGCAGGATGCTGATTGAATTCCTTCCACCCTACTCCCCATTCCTGAACCCAATTGAAGAGTTTTTCTCGGCTTGGCGGTGGAAAGTTTATGATCATCAGATAGACAAAGCATTTTGAACAGGTGACGCTCTTTTTCCGGTTATCCACTATGTTGTGCAGTTTGTACGTGTTGTTTTGAGAAATGCACTTGGAGATCTGCAAACTTCAATTCTGTTGGGAGAAATGAATGAAAGCGATAGAGAAAAACTGTAACTGAACCGTCTTTGAACACAAACACAGCATTCGTGCACCATTCCTTGTTGATAGAAACACAATCCACTGCCACAACTGTCTGGACAACAATGACCTCCTGCTTTTTCAGCGTGGCCTGTCAGGCTAAAAGGCCATGTCCTGAATGTTGCCGTAGAGCCGAAGACACAGCAGTTCTTAATTTCATTTGGGAGGTCTGTTGTACTCAATCTACTGATCTCCAGATGGTGATAGTGGCACCTGTAGCTTTGTTTCGCTGAATAAAACGTACAGTTGAAGACAAGTATAAAATGCATTGAATATTTAGCCCAATAGAGACCACTGCATTTGCATGGACTGCCTGGTTAAAAAAAAAAAAAAGCATCATCAGCTGAAGAAATCTGTTTTGGCTTGATGAGATCTGACCCAATTACATCAGACTGCATTCACAGCATGATACACAGCTCACAATTCTGTTGTCCTGCTTCCCCACTCATCTGCCCCTTAGGTTTGTTTTTGCCTGCACAATTGTAGTGATTTCTTTATTTATTCTTCTGTTGTGTTGTACTGCTGTACCCGTGACTTTTACCATGATTACTTTTAGTAATTATTCACCACTGAACAGACCAAACCTTTCTGCCTCGTGTCTTGATTCTTTTTTGTTGTCCTCTTCTGTCCTTTATCAGTGTTTTGAGGGAGAGGACCTTCCTGAGGCCACAGCCAGAGACATTGACTTGCTGATGGATCAACCAGACCAGTTCCGTAGAGGTGTGTGTTTCTGCCCTAAAATGTCCATCGCTATGTATGATAGGCGTTGCATATGTACAGTATCTTTGTTTTAGTTGTTTAGTAAATGAGTAGAAAGTTAGATTTGTAAAGAGGTTTGGTACAACAAAGAAAACCATTTTATTCAATAACCTACATTATTAGATTTTGTAAAATAGATTTTGGGGAGAAATGTGTTTTTTTAAACATGTTTATCTGCTGTGTATATGTTACATTGTTTCTCTGTGCACTGTGTACATGTATGCTCAACAGAGGACGAGGAGCAGCAGACAGAGGAGAGGATCCGGGAACTTGATGGAGTCATGTCCTCTATTGACCAGTGAGTCTTGTAGAGAAACTATCCTGACAAATAGCACAGTCAGTCCTTCGACAGTGTACTGTATGCACACCTCTGAGGACATCTTCAGGGCACTGCTAATCTCACAGTGGTATTAGTAGTCTGCCATTGTGTCTGTTAGCATTAGTTCTCTCTGCTACAGCTCAAAGAGTCAGATATTGACAGAAGAATAGACACTTTCTAGGGTTTCAAGAGAGATTTAAAGGTGTTCTGCCAAATTTCTTTTCAGCTGCTAGAGGATCTAGTGAGACTAAACAAACTTACATCAGAAACCACTCCTAACACCTCTGTATCCCTCCCACCCTGTCCTCTTTCAGTGACATAAACTGTGGATGCCTGGTCGCAACAGACTGTACAAAATGCAGCCTCCAGTCTGAAGCTGGCATGAGCTGACTAATGAGTACATTTGTCAATCCAGTAGAAAGCTCTGGTTACTGCTAATGTGACACAAAACACTAACATTACACAAAGCTCAAATGACTCCCAAATTAAAATCACATTAATTCAATACATAGGTAAAATCATGACCATGCTAGATCACTAACCCTGGTTTTTACTCTTTCTTTGTCCTACTCTCTATCCAAAAGAACATGACCTTTAGTCTGGCAGCCACTGATTCCTGCTTTCTGTACCTGAGAGGTCCTCCATTATTGGCTAAATGACTAAATATGTCAAAACTCTAGCCATGTGTTGGTCTCACAGTGAAGTTGTTCAACATACTGCAAGTGTTGCTAGAGTTTTGAACAGTTTAGTTTAGTTTTTTTTTATCTACTGTATGTACCTTGGCAGTGAAGAAAGATGTAGGAGAGGAGGAGGAGGAGGACAGTAGCCAACATGCTACTGTGGAAGAGCCAGATAGTGCAAGAACCAGGTCAGAGGGGAACACAGAGATGTAGAAGCAGGGCAGCTCAGAAAAGCAGATTTTTCTGGAAAAGGGGGCCTCATTTCTACCACCACAAATATGTCTACTGTAATTCTGTGGGAAACACTGAACTGTATCACATGACAGATATTTGGTATAGTGTGTGTGTGTTACCGTTTGCAGACTAAGGGAGACAATACTGGGAGCAGAACGAGACAGTGTGTGGCTGCCAGATGAGGAGGCAGGTCAGCCTATGGAAGTTCCTTTTGGAGCTGATGCCAGAGAACTGACCCCACTGCAAGTCACTATGC